CCTAAACCCTAAAACCCCTAAACTCCAAAACCCCAACCCCAAAAACCAAGCCTTAAACCGGCCCAGAGGCTGGCCGGTGGTCAGAATGTAGCCTCGAGTCTCAGGCGGCTCCAGCTTGCTCCTTGGCTTCTGGGTTTAGGGTGTTTGGGGTTTTGGGTTTTAGGGTTTTAGGGCTTAGGGCTTAAGGTTTGGGGTTTAGGGTGTATAGGGCTCCAGGGTTTTAGGGTTTATAGGGTTTAGGGCTTATAGGGTTTAGGGTTTAGGGGGTTTGGGCTTCGGGTTCCCCAGGAGCTCCTGAATAGCAATGGTACCCTTGTTTCTTACTATTCGGTGTTAAGAAGTTCCCTACTAGTCGGTCTTCAGAAGTTCCCTACTGTCGGTTTTAAGAAGTTCCTACTATTCGGTCTTAAGAATTTCCCGACTATTCGGTTTTTGAGGAAGGAGAGATTGAAAAAAAGGGGGCAAAAGGCTACTACTGGGAACTTCGCCTTTAGGGTCTTAGGGTTGCAGGGCCTTCGTTTTTTAGTACCAGGGCTTAGCGATGTACCGATTTTAGGAGTTAGGATTTTGCATGCTGTACCCATACGAACACACACAGGTATGAATCCCAGGAGTCACTGCCGTCCACTTCATGGAAAGACAGCAACTTATGTGTGTGTGGCTAAAGGAAGTACGTTATGAACACTTGCCTCGAGTAAACACGCAGTTTACGAAAAAGGAGTAACTCAAACCACGAAGCAGGCATTTTAAAGGGAATCCTAACTGAAGTATCTAAAGTATAAGTACAAGTAAAGTTATTAGAAGTAGGGCTCGTTTAGCTCTACTTATAACTTACTTCGTACGTCCCCTCAACCGCGAAACCCTAAACCCTAAACCCTAAACCCTAAACTTGAAGCAGAGAGTTACAACAGAAGGCGTCTGGCCAGCCATGGCTCAGCTCGATTGTCATGCCATCCCCGGCCACATCGGCAAAGATATAGAAGAAGCACATCACCTTGGGCTTGTTCCATATGGGGGTTTCCGAAAATAGGGGACCCCAATATAGCACCCTAAATAGTAGGATCCCTATTATAAGGACCCCCCAAAAGGTACTCCTTATTTTCGGAAACCCCCATGTGGTTCTGCTAGCTGAGTGTAGACGACTTTGGTTGGAATGTGGCACCGCAGGAAGATGTTTCGCAAGCACCGGCAATTCAGAACAGCCGAGCAGACACCTCAAGATTCTGTCTTCACTTGGAAACGGAGAAACTTGATCAGACCGCGCAGCATTGTGGGATCGGTATATATGTTCCGACCATGAGATGGCTTGCATTACAGGTTTGCGTTGTGAGGTACCAGGTTCAGCCTTCGATGTTGACAACAGACCCTGAACCAAAAAACCCAAATAGGTCCGCGTTCGACCTTGGTCAATCCCGCTGTCGGCTTTCGGTGTGCCAAGCTTCTTCTTGATATTCCGAAGCAGTAATTACGCGTACAGAACTAACCCACAGCAGGAAATGGAACTCTTTTGATAACATATAAAGCAACATGCTGCTCTTAGGTTTTAGGATTCAGGTGTTGAGTTCAATCAGGTTCCAGGGTTTAGTAGCAACGCAAGTTGCAAATCATTGCGTCTTGGAAGGGCCCTCTCGTATGACAAAGCCCTGAGGTCCATCGCCCCTGGCTCATTAGTTAATGTAGAGGCCTTAATAATTAGAATAGGCTTTTGGGGCCCACCAGAATAATTAGAATAGGCTTTTCGGGCCTATCATACAAAACTACTGATGATTATATAGGCCCCGACATTAGGGTTCGGTTTAGGGCTTCGGGGCTGGGGCTTCGGGCTTGGGGCCCACTGTTCAGGGCTTAGCAAGGGTTTAGGAGTTTAGGGTTTGGGGTTTAGGAGCTTAGGAGCTAGGTTTAGGAGTTTAGGGTTTAGG